AAGAAGTTTCTGAAATAACTTTGTCTTTAAAATGTAGAATCATCCAGAAAGTTCTTCAATGGCATTCATTCCTAAATGTAGCAGCAAAGTCATCTCTACTGCCCAGCTCCCTTCCTCTATTAGTAAAGAAGTCTCTATTAGTTTATAATCTGTTCAAAGTCAAAAACAAGTGAACTAACCCCCATGCTTCAGAAATAGGCTAATTTCATGCTGTCTGCGAGTAAACAGACCGAATCAGAAAATACATTGCTGATAAACATTCCACACGTTTCTGGCCAAATGCCAATTACTTAACTTAGAATGACTTTTAAAAGAAAGGAAAATGAAGAAGATAGTTTTAAGTCCTTGAATTTACTCACCAGTTTCCCAAATGCAGCGTCAGTAATAAGAACATCAATCTCATCCCTCTAGTTTGACTCCAGAGGAGGAAAGGAGAAAAGAAGAAGGCTTTCCAAGAACCCATGAGGTCGCTTTTTCTGTCAGTCCTGCACCAGCTCTGTCCCCAAGCTCAGAGTTTGTCTCACCCCTCAGCAGTAGCCCGGTGAGTAAGAGGGAGAGTGGAAGGCGGTACACCTCAGAACCAGGTAGGATGCGACTCCCAGCGGAACTGAGCGAGGAGCCAATCAGACAGGGAGGATGCTAGCATAAATTATCTCAAAAGAGTTGGACCAATCAGTGATCCAAAAAGGCGGGGCTTCCCCTACTAGAAATCAAGCCCAGTAGGGAAAAGGGCTGCGTTTTTCTAAAAGAAAAATAAACCTCTTCTCCCTCCCACCCCCTGGGAAACCTTGGTGTGGCCCTGTCAGACCCTCTCCCCAGGGAAACACTTCCTCACTCCCCGCTGTCCTTTTCTTCTATTCCGGAGCCAATGGATTCGGATTTTGAATCTGTCTTCTAAAGAGACCCTGGGGAAGTGTGCCACCTCTCCTCCCGGGATTAGGGGTTGGGGGCTAATTGACTTTCTCCAGACTCCCGAGGATCCAATTAATTTGATTAACTGTCGTTGGCTAATTTTAATGGTGGGACATTGTATTGTTTCCTCTTTGCAGACCTAGGACCTGAAACAATGCCCTGCAAAAATGAGCTCCCGAGAGATGCTCACTGTGAAACTCAATGAATGAATGAGCAGGCTGGGTGCATTTCTGGTAAGCCCATTCCTTCCCGCATCCCCTCCTACTGCAGTTCTATTGAGAGGATTTGCAATGTACTTCTTTTATCAGTCGCCCAAAGATGACATTAACAAAGAATAACAGGCAAGAATTCTCTCATTTTACAAACAGAAAAAAATAAAATAAAATAATAAAATAAAATATGACCCTGGCAAGTTCCTAGAGCCAAAGGCTTGTAGCATATGACACGGTGAACCTTGATGCCGTCCCCTTTCCCAAGTGCTTTTCCATTTGTGGAGCTCCAGTGTTTGGTACCTAACTTCAGAGGCTCTGCTTTGAGTTCTCAGCAGAGCCCAAGTGTTGCCATGACAACCAGAAAGCCTCTGGCAGCTGGAACAACTGTACTGCAAAGACAGTGGCAGTGGAGAAATAGGCTCAGTGCCCAGCCATCTTCTGCCTTTACGCCTTGCTAAATCCCTGCTTCCCACGGATGTCGCCTGAGGATGGGGTCGCTGGCTGCTTCATTAATCACTCCACAGCACCTGGAATTGGCCAGATTCAATTCTGAACTGAAATTTAACACATAGTTGCTTCAGAATATATTTTGTCTCTGGGCAAACAGTTCAAAGCAGAAGTAACAGTGTTTGTGCATGCATGGCGGTAAGGGAACTGTTGCTACAATATCCACTGAAATCCGTTAAAGGAGCTAGAGAGGCCTAACAAGGTTACAGACTTCTTTCTTTCTTTTTTCTTGCCCAGGAAAACAGATGCTGCAAACCTTGTCTTATTTACCCTCTTTGATGCCCATTTTCTGAAAATTCATATTGACCTTCCCTGCTCCTATTCTCTTATACCACACTAATTAGTATTTTCCCTTCCGTAGAGTACGTTAATGAAAGTAGCTCATATGCAATAATTAATATAGCAATTAAATATAGTATAATAATTCTGAGATGAGTAACTTTAGGTAACACATGATGTCATTTTTTTCTAGCTTAATTAACAATGTGGTTTGAGTAGTTATTTAACTGTTTCACTGGATGCACACATAAATTCACTGATCTGATTAGCCACTGAAGTAGGAATTAATGGAGTAGAAATGCATTGTGAATACCAAATACTTCTCTGGTTACTCCTTGAATTTAACTAAAATTAAGTGGGTTCTTTGCACGTATTGGAGGGAATAGTATACCATTTAATGTTTTATGGCAATAGCTGTAAGTTCTTCCATCAACAATTCTTCAGTAGGTTTACTTTCACTCTTCTCTTATGTAACTGAAGGAGGCTGAGAGCAGTTAGAAGAAATCAATGAACAGAAAAGGTGAAATACATACCCTGGATAGTAACAAGTTGCCTGTTTATTCTATAATGAAGAAACACCTATAATAAAAGGAATTTTGTTGTATTTTTCAATATCTAGGCTTTTCCCAAGTTAGGCTGACTGACATTTTTTTCATTTTGAGACAGGGTCTCCTTATAGCCACGGCTGGCCTGGAACTCACTATGTAGACTAGGCTGGCCTCCATCTTACAGAGATCCTCTTTCCTGTATCTCCCAATTGCCAGGACTAAAGGCATATGACAGCATGCCTGGTCTCAATGTCATTTAATTTTTTTTTAAGTTTATGTATAAAAATGTTTACCTGTATGTATGTGTGTGCACTCTGTGTGTGCCTGGTGCTCTTTAAGCCTAAAAGAGGGTATCGAATCCTACAGAAATGGAGATTGCAGAAGCTCATAAATTATCATATACATGCTGGGAACTGAAGTCAGATCCTCTGCAAGAGCAGCAGCAAGTGCCTTAACTGCTGACCCATCTCTCCAGGTCCCTGACTATTTTTTTTTCTTCTTTTTTCTCTGGGATTTGTAGCTCTAGTTCTCTTTCTTCCATTTTATAATGTATGTCTTCTCTGAAACTGGTTTTATGTAGCTATATTGGCTAATTACACTTCACTATAGACTATATGAAAAGGAGCCTTAGAGCAGTTAGAACCTGTAAAGAGGACACGATGGGTTTGTATATTGACTATGTCTTGACCCTCACCTTTGGACTGGATAAAGTATCAGTATGTATAATAGGATATTGACTAGGGAGTCTGAGTTCTGAATAAATCAAGTACACTCCTTGGGTATTGTGTTTGTGTGATGAGTACAATAGAACTTACTTATGGAGAACAGATCAGATGTACTAGTGGTTTCCAGTTTAGGAGTCCAGAAGAGGTTATAGATAAGAAACTGGAGAAAGCTCTCTCTTTTCCATTACAATAGTAATTTTACTTTGAGGCAATTTGACCACATGGAGATATTTTTCATTGTCACAACTATGGGGGGGTAGAATTGGTGTGAACTACTGAAATCTAGACATAGAGGCTAATATTGTTGGTATGTAATCTGAAATGCACAAAAGTCTCCCATGGGGAAAAAAAATTTTAGATCATACCATGTCATTAGTGCCAAGGCAAAAAACATTTTGATATGAGTGAGGAGGGCAGGTGAGCAGACTACACTGCAGATGCTTTCTCTTAGACTGTCAGCAGATGCAGTCTCTCCCCGCCACCAACCTTTGGATTCAGGGGCCACAGTCATTATCAGTTAGATCTCAATCTAGTTGTAATGACCATCAACTCACAGTGAACTCCAGTTTTCATTCATTTTTTTGTTTGCTTTCTTTTTTTTTTTTTTTTTTTTTTTTTTTTTTTTTTAACCCAGGCTGGCCTCAAACCTGCTATAAAGCTGAAAATGCCTCTTCCCGAACTTGCTATGTAGACCAGGCTGACCTTGCACTCACAGAGATCTGCCTGCCTCTGCCTCCTGAGTGCTGGGATTAAAGGCGTGCACCACATTTTTTGTTTCCTTTTAACTTTTATTTTCTGTTGAGGAATGCAGGATGGACTTTACCGTAGACCCTATGGATTAAAACCTACAACAACCTCTGAAGTTTTTGGTATACAAAATTAGAAAGCCATTGTCATTCCATTGTGTCACAAGAGAACAAGACACAGTGGCTCAACCACTGATCCACACATACAAGCATTTCGAATGATCCACATGCCGTTCCTTTATTCCAAAAGACTGATCCAAAACTGATCTCGGTATTATGGCTGGTAACATAAGAAATACAGTACTGGAGAAGGCTCCTCTCTGTGCCTTGGTTTCTTTCTTTTGTTGATTTAGATGTAGAGGGGTTGTCGTTTCTGTGTATTGACATGTGGTATATGCATATACATGCACATGTGGAGGCCAGACATCAACATTAGGTGACTTAAACCACTCTCCACCTCATTTTTTCTAAATGAACTTGGAGTCCACTGATTAGGTAGACTGTAGGGCCAGTGAGTCCCTGAGATCCTTTTGTCTCTGCCTCCATAATAATGTTTTGCTTTATTGTCAAGGATCCAAACTCCAGTACTGCAAGCAAGAGCTTTACCCTTTACCCTCTGAACCATCAGCCCATACTTCTTTGCTTTCTCTCTCTTTCTCTCTCTCTTTCTCTCTCTCTCTCTCTCGATAGATATATAGATATAGATATATAGATATAGATATATATAGCTATAGATGTAGATATAGATATAGATATAGATACAGATATAGATAGATTTGATATCTCATAGCTTACAGAGTTGTTTTCAAGATTAGGTGATGGCATTACTTGTACTAGTGTCTGGTTAACAATAACTCAGGAATGTCATTATTGAGATTCCATTCAGAATATACTTTAATAAATATAAACAGTTTCCTACTGCCCTCAGTCTAATAAAGTTAGAATCTAAGGTCCTTCAGAAGATAAGGGAGATATGTTTTCATTCTACTCAATTCTACTCACAATACTATCCCTCTAACTGGCTTCTTCACAGATAAGAAATATTTTTAATTTTTAACTCTCATGTTCTAATATTTTTATGATCTGCAGAAGACACTTACCACAAATACCATAGTTCTTTCTCATGTTACATGTTAACTTCTTAGGCTATGGCATGCTTTCATCTTCATCATCTGCCTGATGCCTCTTAATTTTTCTGATGAAGTGTAAGTGTCATTGTTTTCTCAGATGTCTTTATGGACTGCTCACTGCAGGCTAGTTTGCATCATAAGGCCGGTTATGGCATTATTTCAGTATTGGTTATGTATGATCAGGTGTATTAGTATTTATTTCAACACTGACAAATTTGACAAGTGAAAAATAAGGGAGAGAAGCCATTTTTGGCTCAGAGCTTTGGAGGTTTCAATCCATAGATGGCTGACAAGAGAGGCAAAGTATCATGATATGGGAGTATGGCAGAAAGTATATTCAACTCATGAATATTGGGGGGAAGTGAGAGAGTAAAAAGTGAAAGTGTGTGTCTGTGTGTGTGTGTGTGTGTGAGAGAGAGAGAGAGAGAGAGAGAGAGAGAGAGAGAGAGAGGAAAAATAACAGAAAAAAAGGTCAAAATTTGCAAAAAAAAATAACCCTAGATTTTGGAAAATATAGGATCATTTCTCTTATTCTAACCCTTTATCATTTT